ACTTGGCTCCCCAGTGCAGAGAAGCTCACTTCTATTTTGGGTTGTTTATAAACAGCTTCATGGTTACCCAAGTTTGCCCTTTTCACCTCACTCCTCCAAGATTCAGCAGGCATTTGGGGTGTCTGGAGCTAGTCCTCAGAAAAAAAATCAGTTCAAGAGATACTTCAAAGGTTAGCAGGGCTGAGTCCCTTTCTGTATGATACTATAGTTTGCTCCTGTATATTTTGCCAGATCCAGGAAAACTGATCAGTTCTTCCCAAACAAGAGCTACAGCAGAGCTAGAATGGTCTCCAAGTGCTTCGAAGAGTTCTCATAAATATTAATACTCTGCTACTAAGAAGAAGGGGGGGAGGGGCAGCAGGAAAAGTGCAATGTGTTTACAATCCACACCCACATTGGTAAGTATCATTTTAGCCTAGCAGTCTGGTAAAATCTCTTTAAAAGATGCATATTTGAGGTATCAGCAAAATTCTCACCACTGCCTGGGTTAGCATGAACAGCCCTCCTCCTGTAATCCTCGAAAAAGGCACTGCAATGTTAAACAAAACCAGGCAACCTCTGGGGAGGCTGCGAGGCTCTGTATTGCCTGTCATTGGACCTATGAACACCCATGCTGCCTTGCAAAGTTAGCTGCTTAGCAATAATGTCATGCAGCATGAGGTTCTAACATGGAGCTAAAAAGAAAATCCCCTGGATATTTAATATTAGTGTCCCTTTTCTACAATGTTTCGGATTCAGGCACTTTCTATAGTTTAAGGAAGAAAAAAAACCTGGTCTCATTTCCAGCTACTGGAAACTCAGACCCAATAGATTAGAAACATTTTAAAGATTTTACACGTTTCTAAAGTCATTACAGTCAAAAGAAACTTTACGCCCTTCCCTTGTTGGTCCTCGCCCTGTCCCTTCCTCACCCGTGCTTCCAATTCTGTTTTCTGCTTGTAACATTTTTGCTTGATTTATTTAATCAGGAGCATGAGACCAAATACATGCGGGCTTGTAAAGCACAAAGCTGAAAGCTAAGTGACTTCACCCCCTCCACAAGATGCAATAGTAGCTCCAAATGTACAGCCAAAGATGATGATATAAAATCTATACACAGGGAAAGTGATCTGTGTAGTCACTGGGCATTATTGCCATGGTATTAACTGATGACATGGAGAGCAAATCAGAAAGCTCCAACTGTGTCCTGTATGCTAAAGCTGTCTAACAAAATAATCGTAATTCTGTACATGCCTCCTACGTTCTAGAGAGTAACGAAAGTGGCCTGCTTTCAGGGATAGCCACTGTGGTTGCATGAGCTCTCTCCCAATCTGTGTGGCCCACGACAGAGCAGAAGGCACTGAACTGCTAGTGCTGGGACTTGGTCTTTCACAAGTGCTAATCTCCAGTTTCTAACAATGCCAAGATGGGGGGAAAGGGTGGAGGGATATTTTTTGTTTTCCCTCCAGGGGTGGAAATAGAAGTAGTAAGTTAGCTCCACAATATCCAATTACTGCAATGCAATCTAACTGGGCCAATTTTACCAAAGAGTTTGACGAATAGCCAATACGCTTTGTTTTCCACAGGCTGAGGGTCAACTAAGAGAGAAAGCAGCACCCTCAAGACGCCAGGATCACAGCCCCATCCTTTCAGCCACAGAGCAACTGACCTCACTGTTCTCCTTTAAATCTCTTCTTACTATGCACTTCTACTCTGATAAGTGAGTCATTCTCACAGTCCTTCCCCTCACCCACTCCACCATAAAGTCCTTTTCCTACAACACACATACTCACACCCCTGGGGTGAATTTCCATAATTTCCAACTTATTTAAAGTTTAATTTTAATGACAACATTCCTAGCTTTCTAGTTTTCGAAAAATCACATTTTCCTTCCTCTTCCTTTATATTACAGATACTTTCTCATCTAACTCCAGTTCAGGGTTGGTGTTGCCTGTGAATAAAAACTATGTGCCATCACCATAGATGCCAAATGCAAGAAGTAGCAGAAGCCTTCTTACAATCTATTGAGAACCAGTGCATCTTATGCAGCCTGTTTATTTAGGCTTTCCAAATGACAGCTCTTGAATGCTCACTGTGAACTTGGGTTATCTGCATGCCATTGCAGAATGCTGACTGTCACAAGCCCTTCCTAACATCATTTGGTAGATTCATAGACCATAAAGCCAGAAAACACCATTGTGATCATCTAGTCTGACCTTCTGCATAACACAGGCCAATGGACTGAATCAATTCCTATTTAAACTAGAGCAGATCTTTTAGAAAAACATCCAGTCTTGATTTTTAAATTGCGAGTGACGGAGAACCCACCACAGCCCTGGGTAAGTTGTTTCAATGGTTAATTACTCTCACTGTTAAAAATTTGCACCTTATTTCTAGACTAATGTCTAGCTTCACCTTCCAGTCAGTGGATTTAGTTAGACCTTTGTCTGCTAGACTGAAGAGCCTGCTGTCATGAAATTGCTGTTCCCATGTAGGTACCTAGGGCTCCAAAAAGGGACTTAGGCACTGTAATGTGTAACTCCAAGGTGCCCGGCCACCTCACAGAATTCTCAGCCCTGTGTTAGGTGTCCATGCTCCCTATACCATGCGTGGAGAGAGTTAGACATCCAAGAAAGGGATCTCAGAAGCCAACAAGCTGCCTAAGCTGACCAGGAGTGAAATGTATCCAAAAAACAACACACCAAAAAGCCATCCTATTAGAGACCTGGGTTCAAGTCCCTTCTCCAAATCAGGCAGAACAGGGATGTGAACATAGGTCTCCCCAAGCCCAGCTGAGTGCCCTGACCACTAGCATGAGGTGCACACACAATGTCAGCAATGCTTAAGCTGGACTTAGGCACCCGAGGACCTTTGTTGACCTAGACCTTATAGACTGTGATCAAGTCACTCTTTTCTTTTGTTATTGAGATTGAACTCCTACAGTAAGGCAGGGTTTCTAATCCTTTAATCATTCTCACGACTCTTCTCCAGTTTATCAACATCCTTCTTGAATTGTGGGCACCAGAACTGGATACAGGATTCCAGTGGTAGTTTCTCCAAATATATGACCCAAACACAGGGGTAATATAACCTCCCTACTCCTACTCAAGATTTCATTCTTTACACAACTATTTGTTTTATGGTAACAGGAATTCTTCATTCGGCCTGGTTTACATTGCAAAGAGCACATCTCCCATTGCATGCCAGTCAGCAAGTGAGAGAATAAATTTGGACCTGTGGTACTAAGGTGAACTGTACTTTACAGCCATAGTATCTAGATAGTGAGTTGTTAAGTACAGGCTCTGGGAGTGGGCAGAAGTCCATCAACCTACACAGAATGTCCCATATAGATCATTGTGGAAGTCAGTGAGTGCCCTGCTAGAGAAAAACGGCCAGGCCACATCAGAGTGAGACCAAATCTCCCAGCAGTATTCAAACCATAGGGAGTGGGGAGAGAGAAATATTTAACTCTTTGTTTAGATATCAAATATCTCGTTTGTTCCTTCTAAATTTGCAATTTTCTTCCCCTTAATATTCTGGCAGCACCCAGAAGCCCCAACCAGAATTGAGGCTCTATTACAACAAATGCCATACAAATACATAAGAAGACAATCCCTGGCTCAAAGGGTTTACAGTCTAGTCTAGGGCTTGCTTACTCAGCTGTGAGCTGGTAGATTCAAGGTGTTCCTGGATAAAGTGGAACAAATAAGAAATTAGGGTCAATACAGACTGTTAAAATGGGTATTTCACATAAGCCTTTACTATGCTAACTCTGTTTATATTCCTCAGTCCTGTCCTCTTACAGCACATATAGTCAGGCCTGGGACATAGAAGCTTGAAGACAAGTAGAGGGACCTATCATTCAGCCTTTTGGGTGCAGCTCCAGTTTGCCATAGCAAAAAAAAACCAAACCCTTGCAGAAAATGGCAAATACAAGCCAACATTTCCCCACCCTCCCAAGGCTGAAGCAAATGTTGTGTATTCCTACTCCAGAGGGTAATAAATGTTGCAGAGAAATGGAATTGGCTTCCATCAAAGCTACATACAAGAAGCCACAAGCCAAACTCCTCATCAAGACTGAGAGCAAGCCATTGAAAGAGAGAAATTCACAGTAGCTGAGAAACTGATGAGACTTTCCAGGTAGAGAGAAAGAGAAAAAGAGAAATGAATAGAAAAGAAGCATAAATAAACCCAACTCTAACAAAAGAGTGAACTTCAGTTGAATTATGTTTACAGTAAAAATCACAAACCAAATAGCTTAGTGCAGGGGGTTCTCAAACTGGGGGTTGGGAGGTGTCAGCCACCCCAAACTCCGCTTTGCCTCCAGCATTTATAATGGTGTTAAATATATAAAAAAGTGGTTTTAATTGATAAGGGGGGGTCACACTCAGAGGCTTGCTATGTGAAAGGGGTCACCAGTACAAAAGTTTGAGAACCACTAGCTTAGTGCACTACAACACCTACTTCTGACACTGATTTTCAGAGGGACAGCAAACCCACCTCCCATCTTTTCTGCTATTCCAAGAAATCTTTCAAATATTGGTATATGATGAACTGAAAAGACCGGGGTAGTGGAACTCTCCAAAACCCAAGAGAACAAATGTGGAGAAACACACAACTGTGGATTGTTTTAATGCACTGAAATCTTGAGGTGTGTTCTGTTGGGAAAAGCTACCTCCCATAAAAGTCTTGCCAAAGGATGTTAACCTTACATTAATGAGTAGATTACCAGAGTCAAACAGAAATAAATTTCCAGGCAGTAGCAAGGGCTTCTGTACTTCTGAATAATGTTGGGATTTCAAGAATTTCCCTGACCCCTTCCCAATGCATCTGCCCATCCCCTGAATAGAAAGGGATGCCATTTAGATTTCTCAGAACCCAGCCATGGAGCATGCCTGCTCACTTCCCTACATGCCAATTGTTCCTAAATGTTAGTTTCCATTCTGTCCCCTAAGCTAGCCTGATGGAGTTCTCACCAAATGTCCCTGTTTACAACTCAAATACTGGTAGATGTGACTTACGTCCACTGACAGTTCCCGCTGAATAAGTTTCTTCGTCTCCTTTTCACAGTAGTTGAGCATTGCTTCTCGGTTGTATAAGCCAGTTGAGTGCTTGTCAGTTTGGTTTCTCTGCCTGAGCCCCACAGGGATACTTCCATCCGGATCAGCCACATCCAACTCCTTTTCTAGCTCTTCCATCTCCTCTGGAGACAAAGTAGACAATAAGCTATCAATATCTGGATCTTCACTGACTTGCCTTCTGTATTTTGCTACCCTGGACATCTTGGCAGTTTGTAGGTGAAGCACAGCTGTGACGATATGCAAAGCCACAGAGTGGAGGAAAATTAGTTAAATAATAGAAGACCAGAAGTTACTTCCCCCTCTCCCCACCATTCAGGTGCTGAAGTGTTAAATCTAAGCAGCTCTAACTTACTGCAACCCAGGATAAATTGGTTATAAAGGGAGGACCTGGGTTGGTACAATAGCTGGCCAATTACATTTAACAGCTGTACAGCCTGGTTCAGAAAAACCAATCAGGAAAAGCAGGAGGCGGGCTTTCTGTCTATCAGAGGAGTTTGAAACCTGAGGACATTCCAGGGAATCTGGAAGAGCTGCATGACCAAATTTAGTACTGAACATTTAGCCTTTTAAAGGCAATGGGACAACACATTGAGAAAATATGCAAAAACGCACAAGCTGCTAGGCTGGGGCTTTGAAATTAGGGAGGAAAGAACCAGAGCTGCAGATCTTTAGGATGTGTCCCTATGCAACTTCAAGATCTGACCATTAAAGCTACTTCTAACACACAGTTTGCTTCCCCATCACAGGGGTGAAATGTGTAGCTGGAACTCACATTCTGTCAATTCCCAGCTTTCTGCTGAATTTGACAATAGAATGCGGGAGACCATTATATGCCTGCACAGCATTTAAGAAAGTTTTCATTTTCACAAAATGTTCCCTGTATATATTTACAGTTCCCTGAAATCACTTACAATCTCCCGTCCTTTTAAAGCAAATCTACATTCTTTCATTTGGAAGCGCATACAATTCCTGCATTCCAAAAAAATCCATGAGTACATTGGATATTTCTGGCTATATATTTTTTTAAATTGCAGATAACTATTGCCTGATTGGTAAGTGTATTGGGTGAGTGTAGCGGGGTGGTCACCCTGCTCTGGCCCTGAAGGGGTTAAAGCAGCCCTGGAGAGGGCTGCAGCTGGGAAAAGGTAGGCTGATGGGAGAAAGCAGCCACAGCTGTGGCCAGCATAATCAGGGCCCGCCCAGCTGGCCCTGATAAGAGGGCTGTGGGCCAGAAGATAACATACACTCTCTCTTTAGCTTCTTGAGAGACAGACAGACCTGGCTGCCTGGGAGCTGAGAAGGGTACCTAAGGTGGAGCAGTGCTGGGGAAGGGCAGAGGGAGCTGGGGAGCTCTAGCCAGGAAAAAGCCCAGGCTGCAGGCCTTGCTAAAGGGTCCAAATAGGTACTGAGCCTCCGGAGATAGGCAAAGGCAGTAGGTCCTAATCCCCTTGCCAATGATGAGTGGTTTACAGACTGTAGTCTGCCCCAGGGAGAGGGGGCTAGATGATGACTGGCAGTAGCCACTGAGGTAAGGTGGGTTTAGAGGGTAGGGGTTCCCCTGGGAGGGGAAACCCAGAGCAAGGGGGTACTGTGATGGGCAGAACCCCTGGGCAAAGGGCACTGGGGTCTGGGAGGGACACAGGGGCAGCAGCAGGTGAGACACTGGCCTACGGAGGGCACTCTGGGCTGGAAAGAGCTAATTCCCGTGTTGCCCAGCAGGAGGCACTGTGCTGGTGAGTCTCACCCTGCCACAGTGAGCAATAGCAGGTGTCAAAAAAAGCAAGAGAAACCCACCCTGTTTTGAAAGAAGTGAGAAGCTGAGGAGGACGAAGTGGGAAAATGAGTATTTTCCTCTGGAAATGGTACCTGACCAGATCTGCAGCAAGCAGACCTGGATGACTATAAGTTCAGGGAGCTGGCAAAGGTTTGTAATTGACAGTTTTATCTTCACATCATCTTGGCTCTTAATCGTATTTTTCTTTTATGGAGGTATTAGCATAGCTCTAAATGGCTTAACTTCCCTATAGTATGTCACTGTGAGTACTTAGTGTATTAAAATATTTGTTCTCAAGTTAACTGCAATTCTGACCCCTTTGTGGCCCCCTTGATGACCCCCCTCCCCCACTTAGGTCTCAGGTCTCTAGCTGTCACCTTTCTCAGAGCAGAGACCCACAACTCTCTTTCTCTAGACCTGCAATCCACCATGATGCTCTCAGCAGTTCAGCGGGACCTGTAGTCCAGTTCTCTCAGGGGCAGTGACAGGGTTAATCAGTGACCAGCCAGACATCAGAAAGCAAAGTACTATTTATTCAGAACAAAACCATTATAGAGAAAACCTCTCTTAAAAAAAATAAACAGCTTATACACAGCCTAGAGTACCTGGTGCCAGCAAAATATTTCATGTTTGCTCAAGGGCAGGGGTTCTCAAATGTTTGTACTGGTGACCCCTTTCACATAGCAAGCCTCTGAGTGCAACCCCCCCTTTAAAACACTTTTTAATGTATTTAACACCATTATAAATGCTGGAGGCAGAGCGGGGTTTGGGGTGGAGGCTGACAGCTTGCGAACCCCCATGTAATAACCTTGTGACCCCCTGAGGGGTCCTGACCCTGTTTGAGAACCCCTGCTCAAGGGCCTCTCTCCCAGTCTGATGTTCATTTTTGGATCAAGGGGGAGTGGTGACCATTCTCCCAGATCAAGGCTGCCTCTTTATACAGTTTGCTGTTCTTTATTTGCCAGACCTCTTGAACCAGAGCAAACCAGTCTACACAATTTCCCTGGGGTGAAACTTCCAGACTTGTTATCATTTGAGGAGGCATTGGAGTGTGTTGAGCACTTAAAATACCTAGGTAGGATAACTATAATGAACACCAACCATCACTTAGAGATCTGACACAGAATGGGACTTGTGACTGCTGTTCTAGCATTCATTCACATTGGAGAAGCAAAGGTATTACCAGGAAGCGTAAAATTAAATTGCTGCTGTCTCTTGTCTTCGGCATTTTGCTATATGCATGTGAGACATTACGGAAACAGGACATTAAGAGGTTCTCTGCCCTCAAATGGAAATTCCACAGGCGACTGCTGCATGTTAGTAGTAGTTAGCACACGACTAACAAGGAGATAATTGCCCAAATTCACAGCATAACTGGAGTGATACCTGATCTCATCAAGATGATCCTAGATACGCAGAACCATGGGACTAGAAAGGACCGCAGGGGTCAGCTAGTCTCAGCCCCTGCCAAGATGCAGGATTTGTTGGGTACGATGAAGAAAACTTGAGCTTGTGGGGCACTTGGGTCAGATGAGCGGAGGGAGATGTTGCAGGGACTGGTGCCAATTTTCAGGGGAATGGCAACTGGGATTCAACAATGTGGCTGATTGGCCAGGATGTGGTACAGCACGCTTCTCAAAGCTGTGTGCAAAATATGGAGGAAGGTTGCTGGCCTCTGACTCCTGTGTATTTTGTTTACTGTACATTGGGATGTGGTGTGTGGCACTAGTAGAGAATGTATGTATTTAACACTCCCCTCTGTGATTTTAGTTCCTCCAGGAGATCGTTTAGCTCCCATTGTATTCCTGGTTCAATCACTAGCCAGTCCACAAAGATACATGTAACATTTATAAATTTAATAAAATAGTCTGAATATTCTGTGCTTCGTAAAAAGCACTGCATCTGTCGCATAAAGAACTTTGTAAACTACCTAACCCTAAATATCATACACAAATCAATGTATGTGCATGAAAACATAGGCTAGATACTTAGGAGATACACCAAACACATTCAGAGTATTTTACATACAGGCCTGTTTTCTAGCTGCCCTTTCTTGGGACAGTATCAGATAGGGGTTGGGAAAGTATGACATTCCCCAGGGTGCAACCTGAACTGCTGAGCTGGTAGGTCCCCTTAACTCTCCAGCCCAGGGTGCCTTTTGCAATGCTTTGCTAGTGAACAGCAAACCTCTCCAGGCTCTGATCACTCGCAGCATGCAAAGTCACTCCCAGCTCAGTACATGAATACTATGCCCAGCCATCCATGAATAGCGACAGGGTGATGCTCACGTTCCCCTCAGTCCAAGCCTTGCCTCCCAGAAATATGAGTTTTGTACCATTCAGTAGCTCACTGGACTGTACAAACTCATAAATCAGTCCATCATTCCAACAAAGGGTAATGAGGCTTATAGATTCATAGATTCTAGGACTGGAAGGGACCTCGAGAGGTCATCGAGTCCAGTCTCCTGCCCGCATGGCAGGACCCAATACTATCT